TCATCCTTATGCAGGGAATGTTGATCAGAGTCTGCTTTACTATTATGCAGTCCTCTTTCTTAGTTTTATCTCCGTCTCTCTCTTGCTCAATAAAATCCGTCTGCTCTACCCCTTGTTCACCTATTTCACTCAACTTCTGCCACCATATCTGTCTTATTCGTGGCGTTATTCGCTCTCCCCTGCGCCTGGGTGACTAATTCGAGGCGCAAGCCTCTGAGTGTTATGGTCACCTTTTTGCTACATGTCCCACGTCTCTGGTACAACATACCTACCGTTAGCTAACTAGCTCCGGTCCCAGCCGTCTCTTTCCTGTTTCTATCCCTAATACCAAGTCTATGACTTGCTATGCCCTAATTTCTTGTCTGCCAACCCACAAATATTGTGGTACAGCTTGTTCTGATTTGGTTCAATGGAGATATTGTAGTGAGAAGAGGACATCCTGGCGGCAGAACGGATATGGAAGGAGTCGTTAACACGACTAATCAACCTGACAGTTGTGACAACATATTTTACATTTAACAGCAGTATCTATGAGCAAATATTTGGACTACCGATGGGATCACCACTCTCACCTCTTTTGACAAATGTATACATGGACAAGTTGGAATGGGAATTCGAGATGTCAACACTGCAACCAAGAGTGCTCATGCGATACTTGGATGACTACTTTGCAATTTGGTCACATGGTAAGAAAAATTTAAGTGAATTCCTCTATTTCATTAACCGACTTGATGAAAGAATTAAGTTTACAATGGAGGTGGAGGAAGATGAACGACTACGCTTTCTGGATGTTTTAGTCATACGCCCCAGAGGGACACTCATGAGGGAACTATACAGAAAGAATTCGTATGGAGGAATAATCCTTGATTTCTAGTCTCATCATAACTACAGACTAAAGATCGGAATATTGAGGAGTTTGATCATCAGAAGTTTACGACTAAAGGACAAGGAGTTCTGGGACGAGGAGTTGGACAAACTAACACGGATTTGCCTTAGTACCGGATATCCCAGAGCATTTATAGAAAAAATGTCGAGATTATAAAGGGCCGATTTCAACATGGATTTTATGAAAATCAGATCAGGAATCAGGATGACAACCAAAAGTGGATTTGCCTGTCCTCATCACAACTGAGCCAACAATTGCGACAGTTATTAAGGAAATGGAATATTAAGGTGATAACAAAGAAGAAGAAAACACTTTTCACCAGTCTGCCGACGCAACACGAGAAGACTGACAAACTTGAATGCTCGGGAGTTTATCGCATCAAATGCGGCAACTGTGAGCAGAAGTTTATTGGTGAAACAGGAAAAAAAATCGGACTAAAAATCAAGGAACATCAATGGCTCTGCAGGAACATGGATACGCAAAGACCAGAAATAGCGGAACATATTGCACGGACGGGGCACGAAATCGACTGAATATCTACCGAAAGGTTGGCTGCATATAATGAAAATACAAGAAAATACAAGAAAATACAAGAAAACGCAAGATCCGAAATGCTATTGATATACTGACTGAGAGAAATCTAATGAAGAGGAGACTTGAAGAAGGCAAGAACAGCGAAAACTTTACATATTGCCTAGATTAACTAGGAGGAGACCAGGCAACAGGAAGATCTTCAAAAAGAAGACGTCTGAATCAAGGTTATATTCTTTATTTTAAAAAAAGAGATCGCAAGGGGATGAAAATGGAAGAATCAGAAGCAAAGAGGAGACGTCTTCAGTGAGCCTAATCAAAATAAGTAGAAACACGACATTTGTGGGTTGGCACACAAGAGACTATGATATGGCAAGTCATAGACTTGGTATTAGGGATAGAAACAGGATAGAAACGGCGGGAACCGGAGCTAGTTGGCTGATGATAGATCTGTTGTACCAGAGACGTGGGACATGTAGCAAAAAGGTGACCATGACACTCAGATGCTTGCGCCTCGAATTAGTCACCCAGGCGCAGGGGAGAGCGAATAACGCCTCGAGTATGACAGATGTGGTGAAAGGAGTCGAGTGAAATAGGTGAAAAAAGGGTAGAGCAGACGGATTTTACGGAGCAAGATAAGACTAGGAAAGAGGACTGCATAATAATAAAGCCGACTCTAATCAACATTCCCTGCACAAGGATGAAGGAGGGAGAACGACAGTTGGAGTGTGAAAGTTTCATGTCGCTCAAAGGAGCACACCACACTATAGCTAAATAGACACAATACAATTGTAATAGTGAAGGCATGATAGGATGATACCATAAACGCGAATAACCCAGGGCAGAAGGAGAGATACCACAATTGTTTAGCACACGTTTGGTCAAAGGATCTGCTTCACGTATCTCTTTGACGAGTTGTAATATGGTGTTATGAATGGTAAA